TCTGATGTCTAAGTAGAAACTCAGGCAACAATCAGCAAAGTATTTAAACCAATTAAGATCCAGGAACCAGGATCCAGGTTAGAAAGGGATATAATAAACTTATGCCCTAAGACACAGGTGGCAAACACAAGGCCCTCAGGCTGTATCCGGCCCTCTACCTTGTTTCTACCTGGTGGTGGCAGCCCCGAACTCCTTGGCCCTAGTTAAGGAATAGTTAGTTACTTTTATACAGTCCTAAAATTATATTCAGCCCTTTGAAGGCAACCTCAAGGTTGATATGACCCCCTGGTGAAAAGGAGTTTGACACCCCCTGCCCTAAGAAAAAGGAAATGAAATAGTCTCGGTATTCTTACAGTGTGAAAACATGTAAATTGGGGATTGCATCATAAGTATATATAAAATCAACTAGGACCTCCTCACTCCCTAGTAACTCATTTATTACTGTATGATTGATTCTATATTGCATTTTATGCACTGACTTTCCCAAACCACTTGCCTGCTTCTCATATCCTCAATTCTCTTCCCCACCCCCTACTCAAAGCACAAGGCTTCTTCTCCACTATTCCCGAAAGCCAAGCCCACTGACATAAACTGCTCCTACACCTGCCAAGACAACTCCTCCTCTTGCACTCTGGATCCCCAAAGCTTCTACCTCTTCAGGGCCTCTCTTCAATCATCTCCTTTCTTTTACATTTCCAAACTCCCTATCTGGAAACAGATTCAGGTTTCTTCCAGCCCAAAAGTACTGCCTCCATTCGCTCTCATTTGCTCAGAAAAGCAAAGGAGCTTCACTGATAATCCTCTTGAAAGAGCAGCTTATACTCACTGCTTCCTCTTCCTCACCATTCACTCATGTGAACCCTTGCAGTCTGCCCTCTGTCCCCACCACCCAGAGAAATTACATGCTCCAAGGTCACCAGTGCTCTCCTAACCATATGAAACCCATAGTTATTCTCCTGATCCTCCCTGTAGTATCTGACACTATGATCTCCCTCTTTTCATGAAATTCTCCCTTCGCTGCTATAGCACTGTATACTGTATTACACTGATTTTTTAATCTCCTTCTAACTGTTCTTTTTAGGTTTCTCTGACAGATCCTTTTTAGTCCAACCTCCTTACCTATCACTTTCCAACTTTTCTCAGCCGAGGCATTCCCTTTCAAACTCAAAAAAGCATTTGTGCAGCCCTGGCTGGTGTAGTTCAGTGGATTGAGCACAGGCCTGTGAAGCAAAGGGTTGCCAGTTCGATTCCCAGTCAGGGTACATGCCTGGGTTGCAGGCCAGGTCCCTAGTAGGGGACACGTGAGAGGTAAGCACACATTGATGTTTCTCTCCCCCTTTCTCCTTCCTGTCCCCTCTCTCTAAAAATAAATAAATAAATCATTTTTTTAAAAGCATTTGTGCAAGTAAGAATAATAATTGGGGGAAATTACAATCTGATTAAAATTAATTTTATTAACTAATTATTTGAAAACCTAGGTGCTTCAGCTACTATTAAAAAGAAAGTAATTGCCCCATACCGGCATTCCCTGAGATTTTAATCAAGGCCCTCTTATCTACCTCTAAGCAATTCCTTACCAATCTCCTCTCGCACAGCCTCAGCTCACAGTACCATGCAGGTTAAACTCCCAAGTCTGTTTCTCCTGCTCCCATCACTCTCGGGTGAGCTCTGGACTCACGTGCAACTTACCCGAGTGACTTGAGAACTGTCAACTGAGTGTAGTGTCCTGTTAAAATCTAAAATCAACCAAGCCAAAATTGAAAGTACTGTCTTCACACTAAATATGGTTCCTCTTTCCAACTTCCCTATGTTGGCGGCTGGTACCACCCAGGCTTAATGGCTCAAACACATCCATCTTAGGCTGCTCCCCTCCCTCAATACCCACTTCAACAAGTCCTAAAAATTCCACCTCTATAATGTTCTTGCACCCATGCCCACCTCTCCATTCCTTTTTCCAACACCGTCACAGGCCATCATTACTTTTCATCTGAAATGCTGTTCAGTGGTCTCTCTTTCCTCCATACCTATACTCTCTACTACCAAATTAGTGTCTTTAAAACAGACACTCAAATACTTGGAAGCGAGCCAGAATGTGTTAATGGATGAACCAAGTCAGGTGTTTGAATATTAAACACATAGGATAACTCACTTTCACAAAGAAATACACTCTCTCCCACTTCTTGGAATATGTGGTCCTCTTAGTTTATCATTTAGTTTATCAATTTTTATAGAGATATTAGTGCAGAAAACCACTTGTGTACCAGTGCTAAAAACACGACAGTGTAAGAACAGTGGTAAATGGCAACTGACACTAGGCCTCGGCAAAAGGGAGAAAACGGAGTGGCGGGGACCAACTGCATAGCACTAGTGCATTTAAAGGATGCTGCTGCTCAGCTCCAATCAATCACAGCCTCCTGAGAATGGGGGACTAGTATTGCCACATCTTTGGAGATTTTTAAAGAAAGGCCAAAAGTCTAGATTCTGGTACTTGTTTTCTCTTGCTCAGAGACAAAGAATCAGACTGAGAGAGACTCACAAGCCCTTCTACTGTACATCAAGCCTTTTCTCGTAGATTCTGTCTCCCAAATCTAGCTCAGAGTAATCTCTTGTGGAAGTAAAACAATACAAAAACTGCTTATGAGAGGCCAAACTGGACCAGACTTCACCTTCTGGCCCTCCTCCACACGCAGATCATTCGTTCACCTGGAAATACACCATGAACCAAATACTTAATCATCTCCCAAGGGGTGAATCACCAAATCCTGACACCAACCTAACAGGTCCCCAAATCTGCTGGTCTCTCTCCATCCCCCAATCCTTTTTCTTTTTGCCCCAGTAAATACTGCTGTTTCAGCCAAACGAACTACTCGCTTATACCACTTCACTTACTAGTCGTTTCTCCCCTATGGGGCCCATCATGCTCTTCACAACCCTACTCAAAATACACCTCCCCCAAGGAAGCACTTCTTGATAAATTCTCTTTTGTTTTCTCAACATTAGTGTGCAGTACGGAAGCCTGAAGAGTTGTATTAAGTATTTTTATGTATTAAGGTAGTTCGTGATCTTCTCCAGGGAAGAAATGGACCTCTTTCCCATTCAGGATAATTCCAAACTTCCAACAGGCATGTTTCAGGGCAGGCGGGGTTAGGGAGCACCTCTCAGGTCTCCCCAGGCCAAACCACAGCTCCAGCGAGGGGTGCACCGCATTACTCGAATCAACCCAGACCCCGCCTCACCCGTCAGTTCCCCAGTCAGGTAAGTTGCCATTTTAGAGAACATGTCCCGGCAGAGCTCAGTGATGTCAGCCTCAGCGGGCTCCTTTGCTTCCTCAGCTGTTTCCACCGCGGCATCGTCTGGATCAGAGGAGAATGAGTAAGTGTCCTGCCCCACACCGGTCCTAATCCAGCCACAGCATCTGCTCCCCACAACGCTCCACCTGTCTTCATTCGATCAAGTCGGCTGAATTCTCCACGTGTCATAATTTCAAGTCCCTCACTTCGTCCTTGCCCCACCTGACACAGCAACTCTGCTAGCCTGCACTGGCTTCAGCCCGCGCCAGATTCCCCGGCCAAGCCATCTCACTCGCCCGGACAGAACAAACACTTGCATAAACAGAGGTACGCCCCTCCGACATGCCCACTCCGGCCAAGCAAGCCCCAGCATCCAGGGTCCCAACCGGAGCCCCAAGTCTCCCTCTGGACACTTCAACTCCATCTACTCGGCGTACCTCTAACTGGCTCCTCTCGTTGGCTCACCGGGACACTTTCCGCCGCCGCCGCCATGTTCAGCCCCGCGCTGCTTCCGGCTCTGCGATGCGCGCGCATGCGCACGGGGAGCGCGCCCCTCCTACTCTCCCCGACCAAAGCCCTGGCTTGCCAACGCTTGCCACTCAATACTGAGTGATAAAGTGTAAGCAAGGAGCCGAAGTAGAGGCTAAGAAAGGTTGTAGTGAGTCTACCCACTGTCAAGAGTCGCAGAGTCTGGAACTGAGGATGCATTCATCCCTGTAGCCATTCCCTAGAGCAAGGGTCCCCAAACTCTGGGCCTAGGACCAGTTCAGGTCAGGGCTTGTTAGGAACAGGGCCTTACAGCAGCAGGTGAGCTAGAATGTAATGCGCCTGAATTATCCCAAAACCATCTCTCCCACCCCCATGGAGAAATTGTCTTCCACGAAACCGGTCCTTGGTGCAAAAAAAGTTGAGGATAGCTGCCCTAGAGGGGGTCGCTAGTCTAGTAAGACTCAGGACCTGTCAGGGGTTGGTCTGCTGACCAAAGGCACTAGAGACAGTTTACCCCTCCCCAAAGACTCCGCACCCCAGTTTAGTCGCCAGAGTCTGTCTGCTCAGGGAATCTACGCTTTTGAAAGTAGTCTCATTCAAACTTAGGGAAACCTTCAGGCATTGATTCCCTGAGCCGGAAACTCTCCCTTCCAGTGTCCTGGACTAACACCCACATTTCAGCCCCTGTTTCTTAAGCTGTAGGCTGGCACCTACTTCTCTTCTGTCGATACAGCCTTTCTATAAGAAAGCTTAGATCGTAACTTTTTCAGGGCTGAGAATACACTGGTTATCTTAACTGCATTTAGCTCTTTCACAAGTCTCCTGGGCGTATAGAGTGTACTTGATGGGATGGAAGAACAGGAGTGAGCGAAGGGAATAGGTGAGAAAAAGTGACTGGGGAACCATGGAGGGTGCGTAATGAGGAAGAGACAAAAATCACAGAGGAAGGGAAAGGGAATATAGCTAGCAGGTCTTGTAATGTAGACCTGTACACCCAAAATCTGGTGAATTTATCTTATCCCTCCCTGGTTATCCTCCACCTGTACCCTCTCACCCTCCCATATACACCCACTGTCCCCCACCTCGGAGCAAGGGGATGACCTTACTCTCTTCATCCTGAGAACCAGATTTCCTTAGGTCAGTGTCTCTAGTCTCTGATGGTATAATCAGAGTGCCCAGCAGTTCCAACCATTCCTGTGAGCCAGAAGTTCTCATTTCAGGACTCCTAGGGCAGGCCAGCTCTTCCCATTGTCACTGCCTCCATTCCAGACCTCCCAGTAGGGATGAGCTCTCCCTAGCCCAAGTACAAGGATGGCTCACAGTTCCACCTCTCTTCTTCCCCTTACAATTTCAGAAGAAAGTGCAACATCCTGATTTTCCTAAGGATTTTTATTGGTGGTCACCAGAAGAATAGAGTCAGAGCCCAACACACATTAGTTCAAAGATCTATGAATTCTGAGGTCAGTTCTTTGCCTGACCCTCCTCAGGCTCCATCTTCATCTTAGTTTACAGCCTCATCAGTCCCCAGTGTTCTGCAGAATGTTGGGAGCAGGCTTCCCCACTGAGCCTTCAGGTTGGGGAGGTCATCACTGCAATTCCTCTGCAAATATTATAATTGCCCTACACGAGAAGGCCTCCTCTCCTATACGGCTTCCCCTTCTCTTCTACAGGAAGACTCTATGGCGAAGACGAAAACCCAATAGGTTCTAGCAGCTGATCTCTAGATCTACAAAGGATAACATACACTGGCAAATAGGAGGACAGCTAGATTTTGCTACTCTTGGCTTCTACTTTCTTTCACAAATCATGGCAGTCCAAATGCTTGAGGAAGTCATTACCCTCCCTTCCTTCATTCTGTTTGTTACTGACCTTTTTGTTTGTCTAATCACTACAGCAGAGACCGGAAGCACAGGGAGTAAGAGGCCCAGGGGGAGATATTATTTCACAGAGCTATGCAGAGCCACAGAGCTACACACAGAAACACTGAATCACAGGCCTAAGCATGATGCCCAGTTATACTCAAAAGGCCAAACACAGGGTGGTGCCCGCCAACAGCAGTGGTGGGAACTGTTGCCCTAGAAGTGGAGGCTACGTGCAGAGGGGCCTCTGGGGAGGCAGTGAGAGAGGAGCCTGCTGTCTCATGCTTTAGGACCCCTCCCCAACCACTGCTCTGCCCACCCTGGACTCCCCAGGGGGCTGGAGTCACAGCTGGGGCTGGCTGCAGGTGCTTCCCCATACCTGTTCCCCCTGTTGAAAGAAAAAGGGACAGACAGGTTATTAGAAAGAGGACTTTGCATCCCAATTCCCTCCTATCTGGATCTGATTGTCCAAGCCCAGACCATCTTTTAGAGGCCAAGGCATCCCTCAGGCCAGAGCAACCACCTTTAGGCATTCCCACCTACCCCACCTTCCCTTATACACTGACTATTGTGAAGAACATGTGCCCCCAATAGCCTGAAAACAGATCTCAAAAATGTTTTGCCTATACCCACTGAGTGGAGCAGATGGTAGAGTTCAGCTTTTGGGAGTCAAGAGAACCCAGGTGAAGAGCCACTCACCCTGTCTGAGGAGGGAGCCAGCTGCCCCTTCCTCTCCAGCATTTTTAGCTTTGAGCCCACAGCATCAACCTGGGCCATGACACCTTCCAGGACAGTCTCCAGCTGCAGAACTCTCCTTGTGAGTCTATGCAGGATTTGAGAGAGACTGAGGAAGCACAAAGATGTTTTTAGGGGACCAAGTGTCTACAGGGGGAGGGGACAGAATGGTGTGTGCCTGGATGGGACTGAGGAAGGTAAGATCCAGCCTTTAGGCAGAATTAAAGGGGCTAGGCAGAAGCTTCCTGGGCCAGGACAAGGGGTTAGAAAATTATGAAAAAAGGCTCAAGGAAGGATATTTAAACACAGCCCTGGGCCCCGGCTGCACTTACGTGTAGAATTCTTCTCCTGAAACCCAGTCACCTGCTCCAGTAGCCTCTGGACCCGACTTGCCTGGTGGATTCTTCACAATGGATTGGCCCAGGTTCTCAATCTCAGCATTGAGGGCCACCTGATCAGGAAGGCAGAAGTCAGAGAGGGGAAGATGACTCTGGGAAGCCATCAGCTCTGGTTCTAATGGGTTCTCAGGAACAGGCCTTGGACACTAGTTCTTGCCCTCAAACTCTGGAGCTGATGGGATCAGAGCAGTGGTGCTAAACACAAAGTTGGCCCAACTGCAGGGAGGTAATCACCTCCTGAAGAAACAACACACAAGCTCCTCGAGGCCTTGATTAATGAGGTGTTCACTAGAGGCCAGCTCAGTCTGGGACAGGACTGACAATACCAGAATTCCTTGCACTGTCTCTCCTGCCCTTGACTTTTAGGTCTACATGAGATAGGGATGAAGCAGGTGGAGCAAGGGCAACTAAGGATCAGAGCTGGAAATTCCCAAGGAGAAGTGGTTATCAGGGATTCTTGAGAAATTGGTCCTTTCTCCCCTAAATACTGTTTTAGAGAGCAATGGTTCTCAATCTTGACTGTACACTAGAATCACCTGGGGAGTTTTTAAAAGTACTGATTTCTGGCACCCCATGTCCCACCCTTCCACAGTAAGATTCTGGTCTAGGGGCTATGGCCTGAGTATGAGGATTTGTAAAAGCTCCCAGGTATTCTAATGTGCAGCAGTTTGAGAACCACTGTTCTAGACAGCTCTTTCCTGCCCATCTGTTAGAAGGTTTTCAGTTTGGGTTTATGTTCTGGGCATGTTGACGGGGGGCAGGGTGAGCAGTTTCTTTATACTACCTCTCCACCAACCAGCTCACCCTCTGCTCTTCCAGGTCCTGTCGCATTTGTTTCTGCTCTTTCTCATCTAGGACACGGTTCCCATCTTGGTCAAACCTGGTGAAGGTGGCCGTGAGCTCAGTGATCTCATGCTCTGTATGCCCCAGTCTGAAGAGAACAGGATGATGAAATACCTTCTGACATGCCCTGACTGTGATGTCTTGATTATGGACTCCCTACTCTTTTAGCCAGACTCTGGCAAGAGTCTCATTCTCTGAGGAAGAAGGAGACCACATAGGATAGCCAGGATCTCTAGGGTCTAGCAATTTTACCTTCAAGAAACCATGTGAGCCCTGGCTGGTGTAGGATTGAGCACGGGCCTGCGAACCAAAGGATCATGGTTCGATTCCCAGTCAGGGCACATGCAAGCCAGTTCCCAGCATGGGACGCGCAAGAAGCAATCATACATTGATATTTCTCTCCTTCTCTTCCCCTCTAAAGATAAATAAATAAAATCTTTTTTAAAAGAAAGAAAAAGAAACCACGTGAATCTATTTCTTTCATCCCTGTCTCCTGCTGACTAGGTTCAGCCCATGTGATCTCCTATAGGGGTTAGTACAAAATCTCTTTGCCTCTGAACAACCCGGCCCCTAGACCCTCAGCTTCCCTTTTACTCCCTACCTGAAATCCAACTAGATGCAACTAGAGTAATTAATCTTTCTAAAGTGCAGGTCTAAATATACAATACCCCTTCTCTGCTTAAAGTGCTTCCTGGGTACCCTGTTCTTTGGATAGAGTGATAGTGTTTTGTGGGGGTGACTTCTCCGCGAGTCTCCCCAGTGCCATGGACGAGAATAAATATGACAGAGATATGACGTGATCTGCTTGGGGAGGAGGGATGGTCAATTTCTCTGGGGAGACAAAGGCCAACAGCAGCCAGTTTCTCTGAAGGAAAAAAAGGCCCCCAGCACCCTCTCCATAGCCTTTTATTGGGTTGTAATACACAGGAATACAGGGCGGCAAGGATCAAACAGTAGATAACATTACAAAGAAATCTGAGGGCTTCGAAGTCTGAGTCAGTGTTGCAGGAACTTTGGGAGAGATACTCATTTCCTCTTTGACCTTTATCATATGAATGAAAGCACTCTTAGCAGAGCAGATTTCACAGGTTTATCAGCAAGTCTTTGTGGTGCCAGATTCTTTTCCCCAGGACACGCTTTAGCAAGGAAAGGAGCTTCACCCTCCCCATGAGGTATCAGGCTTAAGAGGATTAGAGCCAGGAAACACTTCTCCCAGAGAACATGGGGACTTGGGCTTTGTCAAGGGGGGGGGGGAGTCCATTGCTCTTTGTTGCAGCCCCCCCCCCCAGTCCTTCCATGAAGGCCTCCCAAGTGATCGAGTCTGGCTTAGGTTGCCCCCCACTGTGAGGGGTCTTACCCGTCATTGACTTCCAACCAAGCTTTGGGGGCAGGGAGAGGAACTGAGGCAGTGTTTGCTACCAGAGACAAGCTTTGTCTCCTGTGGCTCACATTCCAGAGGCAGTCGATCACTCACCCTCAAGCCACAAGGGGCAGAGAGCTACAATTCCTGAAACCAGATGGAGTGGTCTACAACAGTGTTTGAGGCTATTCCCACGGTGGCCCTTGCTTATTTGTATGGCCATATCTCCTGCTGTGTCCCATCTTTCACTGGATACCTTAGCAATGATCAACGATTTATTACTCAGTGTTTGGCCTGCAGCTGGTGTTTACAATATATTTCTTCAGTGTTTGTTAATATGTTTAATTGGGAAGCTGAAAGAGAATGGCTAAGGAAATAGACCAGTGTTTGTGGGGAGCAAAGAACCAAGATCAGAATTTTGTGGCAGTGAGGGCTATATACAAAGATCAGGGAATTGTATTATTATAGTCCTAAGAGTTGGTTAAACAAGGTCCAGAACATTATAGAACATGGTCTGTTGGATACTGTACTGCCTGGTTTCAGAAGCTGTAACCCCCCATGGCTAAGGCTGAGTAAAGAGACCTTGGGACCATAAGCCACTAAGGAGACAAAGCTTATCCTCCTGCCAGGGGCACAGCCTCTACCCCCTTTACTTCACCCTGCCTGGCCCTGGGCGGATGACTGGTTAGCCAATGGGTAAGATTCCTCAAGGGAGGGATGACCTAAGACAGGATAGTGAAGGGGCCATCAGGGAAGGACTTAGGGGACTAAAGAAAAGGGGTGATGGACCCTCACTCCTTGGCTTTTCAAGGGCCTGAGTCCTCACTCTATTCGTAAAGTCTCCTAATTTCCTGGCTGCCTTACTTAAGCTTGAAACAGTGCTGGAGGTGGGTGTGACCCTGCGCTGGAATGGGCATTCCCTGGGGCAATTGGGCCTAAGAAAGAATGCATAAAATCCTGTGAAAGCTTCTTTGCTAAGAATGCCCTCACTTTAAAAGATAAAGGTCCAGTCATAAAATGAGTTTGTTTCTCAGAGTTTTATGGCCCTTTAGCTATCTGACCCTGACTCAGAATAAGCCCTCATAGTTATTTGAATGTTATCTACTGTTTGATTCTTACTGCCTGACAATGATTGATGAACTTTACCTGTATTGCTATGCAGATTAAACCCAATAAAAGCCCACTGAAGAACAGGCTCAACGCCCTTCTCCTTTGAGAGATCAGCCACCTTTCCTCCCCAAGCAGATCATGTCTTGGTAGGACTTAGTCTCATCCGCAGCAGGGCACACGGTCTGCAGGTGGTGTGCCACCGCCCCCCACCACACATACTAATGGTCAGAGACCTTTAAACTACAGGCATGATTCTGAAAGACAGGATCAGAGACCTATAGGTGAAGGTTGAAGGCCTATTAGCCAATGTCAGAGGTCCATAGGCCAAGATCAGAGGCTTATAGGCAAAGGATGTATGTATGGTTGAAGATCAAGGATTTATAGACTAAAGTCAGAGAAATTTGGATCTCTGATTGCTCACTCCCTTAAGGTGTTGGTGAAATCCTCAAACTGGATCTCCTGCTCCCCACCCTGCAGGACCTTCTGCACATCGGAAACCTGTTCCTTCTTGAGACGTAGCCTCATTAGGGTCTTGTTGTATCCCTGGAAGGGGAAAGGAAACAAGCACAAGTCCCACAGCCTCCTCAGTATCCCTTGCGCCCACCTCCACCCATAGGATGCCAGGCTTCCAGGGATAAACTGAAGGCACACAAGGATACAAGCCCCTACACTAGTCAGAAATAGACCAGGACACAGAGCCTTGGACCTGCAACCTGATGTAGACATGCAGCTCAAGGAGATTGAGTAGTTACCTGTTTCAGGAGGTCAGAAATCTGTAACTCATCCTTCTGTCCAGCCAGCTCCTCTTTGACCTCTGAATATGTGTCATTGATGATGGCAAGGAACATGTTCTAGAGGATAAAGTGGGGATGTGGGTCCTCGCCCCCAGACCTACAACACTGAGCCCACTGGTGCTATTAAGGTTCTAGACACATGTTCTAAATGGGTCAAAGCTTTCGAGCCCAGCCCTGCAGCCCACTAACCCCTATATCTCAGGGTACCCAGAGCCCTGCCTTTCAGCACAGTTCTGTTAGTGATGGACCACGCTTACTCATCAACCTGGTGTCCTCACTCATTTGCTGTAGTGACCTGATCAGAAAACTACCTCAACATGTGCCGCAGACCTCCTTCATAAAAGGGCCTACCAAGCACTGAAGCCAGAAACTTTTTCAAGGTGTTAATATAATTGTGCTCTCTTAATCATCTATCCCTAATCTATATCTGTACCCCCATTCAGTAATAAAATAAAGAAACCTGCTACTTTTTTAATAAAAATGAAACCCTGATCTCTCATGGTTGTCAGGAAGAGAGAATAAATACAAAGTAGTGGTTATAAAAATAGCCATCAGTCCCCAGAGGAACGGGAGGTTTGGAGGTCAGGCATAGAAGCTTCCAGGGGCAGCCACTTCTCATAAGGCACTTTTCTCTCCCTTTCCACCCTTGGAGGAGAGGGGTTTGATGTTAGTGAGGGAGCCTGCAGATTCTCTTATACTGTGCAAAATACTTGACTGTGCTGACCACACTGACCACATTAGCTGGCTCCCGGATGATCCACCCCACACACACACTCCCCATCCTTGAGAAAACCATTGTAATCCTGAATGAAGAACAGGGTGGGGGTGTAAAAAGCCCACCCTGAAGGCCCTCTACACTTCTCCCCTGAGGTTCCAAATCCCCACTACTCAGAAGGACCCTTACCAGGAGTACAAAGAAGACGAAAAAGACGTAGGTGACAAAGTAGGCAGGTCCCAGGATGCGGTTGGCATTGTTGATAGCATTGTAGTCAAAGTCCCCAAGGATGATCCGGAACTGAGTGAAACTAAGAGACCGTGACTGGGTTTCACCCAGAGCCTAACCATAACCCTGACCCCAACCCACACCCTCATCCCATTTTCTTAACTGCTTTTCAATGGACTCAGAAAGACCCCTCACTGTACCTCCAGCCCACCTGATAGAGACAGAGCAAGATGCACAGATACCTGAGCACACACATCGGGGCTTCCAAAGACTCTCACACAGATGCTTTAGCACAGATGTGCCCATACAAATGTACCCCAAGGAAACCTACATCCATGGAGCTGGGGGGTAAGGGGCCAGGGAGGAGTGAAAGGGACAGGACACGCACATGCACTTGATGAAAGTGCTAAAATTTTCCACTTGGGTCCCAAAAAGCAGGTAGCCAAGCTGGGCGTAGGCGAAAAAAACGATGAAGAACATGACAGCGAAGCCCAGGATGTCCTTGGCACAGCGGGCCAGCGTGGAGGAGAGCTGAGTCATGGTTTTGTTGAAGCTGATGTACTTGAATATCTGGCAGGATCATGTTGAACCAGGCGATTAAGGAAGAAAACAGAAAAGCTTTAAACAGTCCACTCCAGGCTGTGGAAGCCCCAGGATTGCCAAACCAGACAAGGAAAATGGGATGAGTTTTGAGGAAGGGAGAATGAGTACCCCAAAGTGAAGCTGGGAGTGAGGAGTCCCAGAGTACCTTGATCCAGGCAAAGAACAGGTTGACAGCGTTCATGTTGTTGTACTGTGTCTGCCAGAAGGCGAGGAACTCGAAGTCAGCATACGTGTTTGGCTGCTGCAGGAGCTTCCCCATCAGCCGATTCACCTCCAGGGTCCGGAATACGTGGAAGCCCACAGCCAAAATGGAGAGCTGTCATCACGGGGGTTGAGGGGTCAGAGAAGTCAAGGGGATCCCAAGAGAACTTCAACAATAAAGTCACAAGGGTAGGTAAGACAGGTGGGAAACAAAACGTCCTTAGCTACTGAGTTGTTGACTATCCAGGTTCAGATGGAACTGGATGTGATTATTGGGGAATGTCTTAAAGCCCAAGAGAAGGCTCTGGGGCCAGTGGTAAATACCTGGGTGTCAAGGGCCATAGAGAACTGCAGCCAAGTAATTTTATTTCCCCCACCACTTCCCAGCCTTGGTCAAGAAATTAATGTGTCCTTTTAATAGGAAGGAGACAAAGATAAACAGGCAGAATATTTTAATACAAGAGAAAAGGCAGGAACTTCAAAGACATAGATAGATCATAAGGGCAAGAGACAGAGGAGGAACAGAGTATCAAGTACATAAAGAAAGAACAGAGCCCGGGTCACAGACTAGAGGGAGAAGGGATGTGGGAGACAAGGCTTTCCCAGTGCTGAGCCAGGGAAATATCAGCCTCTGGCTTAGAGATCTGTTACACAGGGATTTGACCAGATGTCATAAGGTGAACTTGGGACTCCAAAAGAAATAGCTTGGAGCACCTATCAGGATGGATCCCCCCACCTCCTCCAAATACATGCCAAGTCCAAGATATCTGTTCCTCACCAAGATGACTACCAGGTCTAGAATGTTCCAGATGCTGCTGAGGTAGCGAAGTCGGTGGATGTGGAGCTCCAGGATCTCCTCCACCACATAGTAGAAGATGAAGATGCAGAAGATGATCTCACAGCCAACAATAAAGAAGTCCCAGTTGCTGACATAGCGAATTAGCTTAACTGTGCGGATTTGCCAGGATGGGATGGCACCTCCTGTAGCTGGAAACTCCACCACCAGTCTGTGGGAGGAGGGGCAGCTGTTTGGTGGGGCCTGGGCCGGGACACTTCCTCCCATCCCCACCTCTCCCCATCCCTACTACAGGGTACATGTTCAGGAAAGGGTCTCGAGCAGAGGAGAAGGGAACCAAGAACCACGGATGGAGGGATGCAGTAGGGAAAGGGGACCCACCTCAGAACACAGAAGAGATTGATGTTGGCATTGTAGACTGAGAAGTCAATGAAAACCACCCGAGTGCCCCTGTCTAGCCACAGGGCCTCCTGAAGCTCCCGGAGTGCCTCTGCACTGCCCTGTCGGGATCCCGGAAGGTCCAGGTAGTAGCCACCTCCACTGTAGCTTGTGAGCTGGCCCCAGTGAGAGGAGCCCCCCAGCTCATCCTGTGAGTGGTATGTCCACCTGCCAAGGAAGAAGCCTTCTGAGCAGAGGTCTGAGCCAACCTAAAGCAGATCTCCCAAGGCAATAGCAATACTTCATGATTATCTGGGCTTTACCATTTCACATGTACTATATATACATATCACATGTATGTATATTTCATAAATGTTAAGTTGTTTGATGTTAACAATTATTGGGGAACTAAGGGTAAACATCCACATTTGGCAAGTGAGGAAATCAAGACCCAGAGCTATGTGAGATTCTCCAGCTTGTTAGTGGCCAAACTGAAACTCAAATGTAAAATAAATTTCCTCATTTTTCATGATGTCAGCCAAAACTATGGATGACAAGCCCAACCCCCACTTTTGACCCCCACCTGAGTAGTCCCCATAAGGGAAGCACCTGGTCCATATGAGCCAGCAAAGACCCTTTCTGCTCTTGAGACTGTGCACAGGTCTGCGCAGCCCCATCACTGTTCCGATCACAAACTTTCTGCCCTGGGCCCTTTTTCCTTCCTCTTCGTTCCCATCCTAGCCATCCTTTCCCCCTTTCTTTCCTAACAACATTCACACTCCATCCCTTGCTGCTCTCCCTATTAGTCCCAAGGGTTAGACTTCCAACCATGACTCCTGGCAGTGTCCACGTGTCATCAATTCTCCCTGCCCCAAGGGACTGCTGGGCAAGAGAAAAATGCTTTCTCTGGCAGGACTGCCTCCAGAGTAGGCCAGACGCACCTGTGGCCTGTGTGTGAAAACAAGTCCTGAGGCCATGGCTCTGTTTGCTAATGTACCTTCTCTGTTCCTGAATGACCCGGACCATCACCCACTGCCCCTGAGCCCCGCTAAGGCTCTCCTCTGCTTCTCCCTAAGGCTCTGTGGAAGCAGTTTCCAAACCCTGGCATGGTGTCAAGCTAGAGGGGCAAGCTCCGTGACTTTACTAGGAGATTCACTCACGCCGTGCCATTGAGGGGCCCAAAGGGGAGCTGCTCTTCCTTGTCCGGAGAGTAGACATCATAGCAGCTCAAAATGTCCTCACGGAAGTCCTCGTGCACCACACAGGAGTCATTGCGGACCCTCAGCTGCCGCAGCCTTGGAACCCCCAGCAGCATGTTCTCATAGTAGATGAAGGAGTGGGAGCCGTGGCCCAGGCTCTGATTGTTGTACCATTTGGTCCAATACAAACTGTCCAGTAGTGGGCCCTGGGCAAACTAGACCACAAGCAGAATTGGACCTGACCCAGCCTCATCCTGACACCTACCTTCAGAATGACTTTTGCTCTTACTCCCTGGCCACCCTCCCCAGCTTGTCCCCAGGTTGCTTTTGTTGGACTCCTCAGCTCACCCATGAACCTTGACCAGATCTCGACCTACTCTTTATTTTAAATGTATTTAGTTCAACCTCACCCCTGAGTTCCAATACTGGTCTAACTGCAGGCTTGACACTTAGATCGTCATCCAGATCTCTCACCTACCTCCACCTTAACTCTAGTGTGACCCATTAGCTCCTTCTTGACCATTTAACTCAGCCTAATCCTGGAATGACCTGGTCTCTGGATATGGCCTGATCTGCCGTCTGATCCTGATCCTGGACATCCCTGAACCCTGGCCTGTGGCCATTGAGAAGGATGGGGAGGGGCAGAGGTGGCCTGATACTTACATTCCAGAAGTCCGCCATGCTGCTGATGGCCTGGAAGGAGACTCTGGTATCAGACGAGGTATGTAAGAAGAGCTCAGACATCACTTTGGTGTAGTAATAGGCGCTGGAGCTTGTCATTCCGTAGGTCACTAGAAACCAACCCAAGAGGCTGTGTCTTGCTCATTGTTCCCATCTCCAGGGGAAAAAAACCAACAACCAGAAAATACCACTGCCCTGGGACTAAGATGCTATCTAGATGGAAGCCCATCGGACCCACATCCTAGAGTTGATGGGGGAGGCTGATGGCGGCATTGGGGAAACCAGGGACTGCATTAAGGAAGAGTTGTGGCTACAAGGTCTCCTTCTTTGCCCCCAACTCACCTCAGAAAGATTGAACTCCACTCAGTAATTGTCTCTTCACATCGCCATTCTGAAAATTCACTTTTCTCTTCCTGAACCAGCTTAACTTCTGAGTTCTTACACCCCAGAGCCAAGAAAATTTCACCTTCTGCATCAGGTAGTGCTTCCTTTTATTTGTCTTGTATTTATGACCTTGGAAAGTGCCTCCAAACTCTAGAGCACTCCGAGGCCCTGGCCACACACCTTACAGCAGAAATGTGGTCTCCTGGGCCCTGGAGTCAGTGATGCTGCAGTCACGCAAGTGGGAGGAAAGCGTGGTGCCTCCAGCCTCAGTGCATCCTGATGGGCACGGTGCTGTCCCGAGAGAGGAACTCAAAGAAGACCTGGCCTTTGCCCTGAAGAACTGGATCTCCCTCAGCCTTCCTAAGATGGACACCCAGAGTCTAAAGTAGGGCTCGTGAGGGAAGGCATAAATTCTCTAGTTCAAAGGCAGAATTTGAAGATGATAAGCCATTTATTTTAAAGACTGTCCCTCAATTTAGATTCACCTGAATGTTTGCTTGTTTTTCAATCCATGTTATACGTTTTTGTGAAGAATATCAAAGGCACAAATATCTAACATTAATTTTGATTCCTGTTAGGGCAGGGTCTTCCAGCTTTCCTCAATGTAAAATTATTATTTGTCCTCTTTGTAATGAATACATATGTTGTGGGAAGATGCTTTGAAACTATGTAAATGTCCTATTACTCACCAACCTTCAACCTACTCATGTTAGTATCCATTGATGACTTTCGCCTTATGGGAGTTGAGCTGGAATTTGTTCATTTCATCATCCCTTCGGCACTTCTAGTTGGCAGTCTCTACAGGAAGGGTTTTCCCTTATTCCTCATTTATTTATTCATTTATGTATCTCAGTATAAACTTGTGGATTCTTTTCTTCTGTAGTTTATAATTTGCTAAAATTATGATTTGTTACTAAATATTTTCACTAGGTCATGAAAGATAAAGAAAGACTAAAGAATTGTTGTAGATTAAGAGATTAAAAAACATGAAAAATAAATGCAATACGTACATTTAGGATTATATCCCAGACCATAACTTTTTTCTCTTGCTATAAAAACTATAAGTAGAATAATTGGTGAAATTGTAATAGTGTCTTTTCATTAGATGATAGTGCTGAATCAGTGATACTTTTTTGACTTTGATAAAAGGATATTCTTATTTTCAGAAAATACACATTAAAGTATAGGAGTAAGGGGGCATTTCGTCTGCAATTTACTCACAAACAGTTGTATGTGTGTGTAGATAGAGACAGAGAATGATAAAGGAAAAGCAAGCAAGGAAAAAATGCTCCTTTGGGAAATCTGGGTGAAAGTGTATAAGAATTCTTTGTATTGCTCTTGCAACTTTTCTGTAAGTCTGTAATTCCCACAAGAAAAATTTAAGAGGGGTTTGTTTGGCTTCTTATGAGCAGTTCCCTTAAAGAATTTTTTTCAAATCTTAGGTTATATTTTTTCCTACCACCCTATCTGGAAAGGGCATGACTTGGAGGAAGAGGGGGCCCCTGGGGCCTCACGTTAGACACCAGCCACATCACACTTGTCTAAGCGGAAACCAGCCAAGAAGAAAGCTTTGTTCCTCCCATTTCCCCATTCCAGTCAATGAAGTCCAACCAACGACTTTATTTCTCTTTCACCCAAATTTGTGGTTACCTATCCTAAGTATTGGGAAGACTCAGATTCAACTTTTCTGGTTCTGGAAAATGGGCGGGAAAACAAATTTCTGTCTGCTAAGTGCCCATTTTGTTACACAGTTAGAGGGGACGGTCAGTGATCTGAACTTTTCCTAATGACCTAAGCTGATTACATTGTTGCACTTCTGGGTGGCCAATAGGTGATGCTCATTGCCATAGGTTTTTCTCTTTTCTAATTCTCCAAATCTGTTACTGCTCAGAATTAACATGGCTCTGAACCGGCTGTCAACCCTTTATGGAGGCATAACACCTCTGATTATTACCCAAGACGGTAAAGGCTATGAATCACGAGCAAAATGGTTACACCTGGTCAAATGCCCACTGACATGCAGAAGACTTACTGCATGCTTGACATGCCTATTTTATTTAATCCTACAACAGCCCTGTGTGTTAGATGCTACTATTATTATTCCATTTTCCAGTCTCAGAGAACTGAACCTCCTGAGCATTCATGCTTTTGATTATGAAACAGACCCCTCACAAACATCCACCTCACTTCTGAGAGTGTCAGCAAAAGACTGCGGAGCACATGGAGGGGGTTCCTGCCACAGGCAGTGGCTCGCCTTCCAGGTTCCTTCCTTTAAGATCCAGTGAAGGAGTGGAATTGCTCTTTGTGTTTCAAAACATGACACTAGACCAGAGGACAGGTGGGAGCTGGAAGGAGGTAGAATTTGGATCAGCATATCAGATGTCTGTGTGTCCGTATATTTCTGCCTCATGTATGTATTGAGGGCTTCACTCCAGGAAGTGCCCAGACACTGGGCAATGACTGCATGGCAGTGGGGGGCTCTGAGGGGGACTCAGAAATCAGGCAATGGTGTCACCATCCAACACAGAGCATCTGCTTTTTTCTCTCTTCTTGGACAGAAGTTAAGTTTTCCTAGACACACCAAAGCATGCCTTTTAACCTTGGCCTCACATCATATTGACAGTTACTGAATAATAACAATTATTTACTATTCATCAATACTTACTATTCACCAGGCTTTGCATACATTGTCTCCTATAATCCTGAGGGGAAAAAATTCTCATAAAGTAGGAACTGCTATTTGCATTTTGTGCAGATAACTGAGACCCAGAATGTTACTAAATAACTTGTCCAAAGATCATATAGCAGCAAGTAAAGTTCATTCCAAACTCAGGTCCGCCTTACTACAAAGGCTGAATTTAGCCACCGCTCTCCATTACATCCAAGTATCACTCTGAGTAGGGACTCTGACACCCCTTCAAAAAAATCAACCTGAATGGTCTGGATCATGCAAGTTTATAAGATGTTCTTTATAAGTTTATAAGGAAGTTTATAAAGAAAACTCCAAGTTTATAAGAAAATTCTACTTGGGTTTTGGCTGGTGTGGCTCAGTGGATTGAGCACCAGCCTGTGAAACAAAGGGTCATCAGTTCAATTCCCAGTAACGGCAAATGCCTAGGTTGTGGGCCAGGTCCCCAGCTGGGAGCATGCAAGAGGCAACCACACACTGACATTTCTCTCCCTCTCTCTTCCTCCCTTCTTCTCTGTCTAAAAATAAATAAATAAAATCTTAAAAAAGAAAAGAAAACTCTACTTGAACAGTTTAATATCTGAATTGGAACAGTACTGGGTAAATCCAAAAGATCACCATCTTAAAGAAGTTTCAATTTGTTCATTCTGGATGTAAGTGGATAATTGTATAGAAATCTGTATCAAAAATCATATTCAGACACAGATGAGTCCCAAAGGAGGAAAAAGCATCATATGCACAAAAGTGGTACCTGGATTATTTATAACATCAAAAAATTTCACATAGCCTAAATGTCCTACAGAGAAGCAATGGTTAAATGAATTATGATGTCTCTGAGCTACTTAATGGACTATGATACAGCCATTGAAATAGTAGTAAAAATAGAATGCAAAATTGTTTCAACATTATCATTACAATTAAATATTTTTTCATATACTAAGAATGTAAAAACTTGAAGAAAAAAATGAACTTTCCAAGGAAGGAGTATTATAATCAGTAGATCTTATTTCTCTTCATTTCCATGGAGTTCAATTAATTCTATAATAATAATATAAAAGTAATGATATCATTTTAGAAATCTACCTATTTGTTTCCAAGTTACAGGCCGAAATTTCCAGGCGCTCGATGCTGTACTGAACTTTGTCACTGCTCCCCTAAGATCCTCTCTGGGCTAATCCCGTCGCTTTCCTGGAGGTGTCCCACTGCTGTGGATCATCTCACGTGTGTGGCGAGAATCTGACTCCAACTTGGCTCAACTAATCCACACAGGCCCTTCCCTGGACACCATTACGTGAGTGTGTGCGTAACCCATTTCAGACCAAGGAGTCGTGAAGAGAGATTTGTGGAACCTTTTAGGATCTTTCCTCTCAAATAAGAAACCAGAGGAGAATGGGGAAAGACCTTAGGGGAAGGGCAGTCGAGGAACACGTATAAAGGACCCATGGACAAAGCGGAAGGGGCGTAGGATTGAGGGTGGGAGGTGGGGTGGATGGAGCAGGGGAGAGTCGGGGCGGGAGGGGGGCCGAAATGGAGACAACTATGCGTGAGCAACATAGAAAAAAGAAAAGGAAAAAAGAAAGCCCCAGTGGATCAGCATTAGGATGAAGGTGATGGTGCAGCGGGTAGAACCTGGTAGTGAACAGCCCGGTCTTTTGTGACGTCGCTAAGCCCCTGGATGCATCAGCCCTGAGCCCTGTGCTCCTTGGACTTCCATCACCCAGGCTGCGAGTTCCAACCCTGTTCCTCTCCTGGCACATAAAATTACTAAAATTCTATGGCTTTGGCAAAAATACATTTTTTGCCAGTCTGACAAAAATTTAGCTATACTTTTGATTACTTCACGCTGGATGTCTATTGTTGTGTTGGCTGTCGTCATTTCTTTTTTAACTTGACAGTCGAAAGGAAAAGAGGTCAGCGCTCTGGATGAGACAGTCAGGTGTTGCGTGTTTTAAGAATTCTTGTGGTCCACCAGTGCGCCAGGACACAGCAGCTGCAAATCGCTGACCTAGACAATAAATCCATTATTGTTTAAGCCAG